AAACAATAGTTTATTCATGAAACTTTTTTTGTTCATAAGTTTTTTATAAACAATGAGCGACGGATAAAACCTTCATATTATTATTCAGGGAGGTGACCTTGATAACATATGTCAAAATTGTTGAGATCGGAAAATAGTCCGTATAACTGCATAATTACCACAATTATTTCTAAAATTACTTACGTTATACAAAAAGTTTTTAAACAAACAATGTAGCAATTTAAATTTTTCACAAAAAAGGTTATAACCTTCGTTTACGTAATAACCGTTTTTTAACCGTTTTGATACGAACCGTTAGAACGCTGAACTTACTACGTTCGTGGATACACTATGCACAAGATCTAGAACTTTTCACACAAAGTGAGATTCCACAAAGTGTGTGTGTGTGTGTGTGTGTGTGTGTGTGTGTGGCGGAGATCAGAACTCTGAGGTTCATCACTTTCCGCGTGGCGCGTGATTTAAACGGAGGAGAATCCAGGTGCGCCAAAAATAAAACTGACACATGTCCCATACAGCACAGAAAGATTGTAAAAAGATTACAAACATATCTCAATGCAATATTGTAATATTGCATAATAATTGCACAATGTAGATGCAATATGGATGCAATGTGATAGCAGCATAAAGATGTCCGCCTTTAGCAAGATTGCGCTGCAATATCATAGCCATATTGTAGCGCACTGTATCTGCAACAATGGATATAATATGTGTGTGTGTGTGTGTGTGTCTCTCTCACTTATTATTATATATAATTTAAAGTAAATTATATATGTGATATAAATAAAAACATAAATAAAAAATATAAGTTTTAATTAATATATATTTTATTATGATAATTATTACATGATTTATACATAACTAAAACGCACAATAAACTAATAAATAAAATTATAAAAACAATAAAATTGCGACTTGTACGCATTCCAGGTGCAAGGAGACTATGCCAAATAAAATGCCATAAATTAATAATGTTATATAAGATAGATAGTAAAATTGTTATAATCAGGAAAACTCAGTGTGATGTCGATCCAATCCAAACAAATTGAATTTTTTGAGTACGTTGTACGTAAAACCAATCTAAAATAATTAAAACATATAGTTTCAAAACAGAAGTTAACTAAAAACCTCATTGTTACAATAAGCAAGGCAGTCTGCAAAAGAAAATAAACTAAGAAATTGAAATACAAAGTCAATAAACCTGAGCAATATAACTTTAAATGCATATAACCACAAATTGTTGAGCGTTAAGAATAAGTTTACTTATTTATTTTCTCTTTGCATTCCCTCTTACATTTATGCCTTTCCTATTGTAATGTCTATAGTTGTTTTATCAACAATACTTTAATGAAATAAATAAAAAATACCTCGAAGAAAGAACAGTACATCTAGTACAAATAGCACACTCAGTACAGACGGCGTCAAAAATTCGCGGAGTAGACGCGGGGATTGGAGGGCAAGCGGGGCGGTTGCTCGTAGCGCCAGCGAGCGCCGTACGAACTAAATAGTAGCAATTGGTTGTTCGCAACTATGTCGTGTCGATAATGTAACTACTCTTTTTTTCAATTTTCTTCTCAAAACGTAAAACTATTGGCCATTTACTAAATATCTAACGTTAACAACTAACATGTATATGTATATATGTGTGTAATAAATAAACTTATAATGTCTCCGGTAATGAAAAAAACGTATATTATAAAAGTCTCGTTTGAAAACTTCTATACTATTATATATTCTTACTTATGCACTGTTTGCCCTATTTATTTTTTAATGTGTTTCTATTTCTACATATATATAATTGTATACACAAAATATATAGATATAATATAATATAATAATAATTTAATATAATTATATTCATTTCGTGGCTATATATAATAGTATATAAGTTTTCAAACGAGACTTTTATAATATACGTTTTTTCCATTACCGGAGACATTATAAGTTTATTTATTACACACATATATACATATACATGTTAGTTGTTAACGTTAGATATTTAGTAAATGGCCAATAGTTTTGAGAAGAAAATTGAAAAAAAGAGTAGTTACATTATCGACACGACATAGTTGCGAATAACCAATTGCTACTATTTAGTTCGTACGGCGCTCGCTGGCGCTACGAGCAACCGTCCCGCTTGCTCTCCGATCCCCGCGCCTACTCCGCGAATTTTTGACGCCATCTGTACAGCGAGTCAACGTGATTAGGCGAATCCCTTTCCACGCATGCGCAATGATGGTGATGCATTCAACACAACACTGCGGTACTGAGAAATTATTGAAATAAATATAATACAATCATATATGATGTATATTCCTATATCTGATAAATAAATTCATTTTTTTAAAGTTAATAATTGTTGCGTTTTCTGAGCGCAATTATAATAAAAACTTATCCGTAATGTTTTGCAATATCTCTGCAAGATTTTTAGCAAGATCGTGCTACTATCTTGCGCCAAAATATACAGAATAGGGGAGTCTTCTTCGATCGTCTTCTCATTTTCATATATTGTAAATATGATCTTACTGAGTACATTTCTAAAAGTTTTAGCCGTCACTCATTGTTTATAAAAAAGGTATAAACAAAAAAAGTTTCATAAATAAATTTTTATTTTCCGACGTCATGTACATTTTGTTTGTGTTGGGAAAAATAGGAAACGACTTTCGATTACATGTCGCTTGATGTCGATAGTATGTACGTGGTTTTTAGCGACACTTAATCAGAAGTTGTTTCTTATTTTTCCTCGAAGAGTGAGCAGGAGGAAGGTCGGAGCCCTGCGAAGGGGGGGCAGCCTCCTGCCTACACGCTTACAACACGAACAAAAAGAACGAAAAGAACAAAAAAGAATGAAAAAGTAGCTTTTCTATAGCATTACCTATATGTATAGGATAGGGTATCTTGCAAACAAAATATTTACTTTTCAAATATGTAGAGTCTGAATAAATATATAGAGGTCGAAAACTTTCTTCACTATATTTCAACATGTACGGCTTGTCAGTACATGTCAGGCCGTTAATCGCATACCTTCGACTTCAAAGACTGTTTTAAATCAATGAAAGTGTATGCGTGGAGACAGTGTGTTTTGCTTCCCCTGCGGTGGGACTTCACTATCCAAACACTAGACACATAGGTTTGGCTTGAATCTCGTTTTGCGTGGAAAGTTGCACTGCGTCCACGCATAGATTCCTCATTTCCTTCTGAAATGTACATGGTGTCGAAGAACAATAGTTTATTCATAAAACTGTTTTTATTTACAACTTTTTTATAAACAATGAGCGACGACTAAACCTTTTAGAAACGTACTCAGGAAGGTCAAATTTACAATATATGAGAACGAGAACCCAATCGGAGGGAGCTCCCTTATTCTGTATATTTACCCATGTCTGCAATGTAACTGCAAGTTTCTGTGCTGTATAGGGTACGATGTTACACAGATGAAGCACTATGTATTGTAACATTAATGATGTTATAGTGACATAAGGTTAGCTTAAGTTTTCTGGAAGGGTGCAGAGAGGCGCAGCCTCCTCTTCCTACATGTTGCTAACACAAACAAAAAGAACATAAAAAACGCTTTACTTTGATTGATTTTTTTATGTTCTTTTCAATCGTGTTGGCAATGTGTAGGCAGGGGAGCTGCGCCCTCCTTGCACTCTCCCTTTTTTTTATTTTACTTGGGGAAATGCCTGCGCACACTCTGATTTTCGGGGGAAAGCCAGAGTAGTGTGGGACTCGAATCCACTAAAATCCTAAGGTAGTTTCCCAGCACGCGTAGAAGAAAGGAAAGCCTAAGAGGTTATTACATCCCGACCTACTCTCCAGTGCACCTGCGGCAAACAGCCGCAAGCTTCCTTTTACCTTGGTGAGGAGATAGGACCACCACATCTTCTCACCATTTTTCGTGGGAACCGCATGCAATGGCCCTTCTGGATGTATCCCCCGCACAAAGGGACACCCCCGGGAGGGGAGCTAAGAACTTCTTAACTTTTGTTTTCGAAGGGAAGTGACTGCTGCCTTCTTCTCCGTATTCCTTGTACTTCCCTAAAAAACCTAACCTAACCTAACCTAACCCAACCTTATGTCACTACATCATTAATGTCACACTGCAGTGCTTCATCTGTATAACATCGTACATGTATAAGTGAGTTCAGCATTCTAACACAAAAACGGTTAAAGTTACGTGAACAAAGGTTATAACCTTTTCTGTGGAAAATTTAATTTCTTACATTTTTTTGATAACTTTTTTTATAACGTAAATAATTTTGGAGATAATCGTGATAAAACCCTTTTTTTACATGTTTTTTCAAGATGGCTTGAATATGTCCAAGCGACAAAAAATTCTAATTAATTATTTACAAGGTGGACTTCTCCATCGATTTCAATGAGCTTGAAATATGTTGTTGAGGACGTTATTCTAAACAATTTTCTCTTATATATGTTATCGCCGCTTGGCTTTTGAGTTAGAAACAAAAAAAGTTTCACAAATGAATTTTTTGTTTTCCAACACCGTATCGATTTCTGAAGTAAATATGCTGTTTGTATGATACGTTTAGGTAGGGAGGGCTTCGCCCTTTCCCCTGGTTCCTCCGACTAGATCTAACTCAAACCAATGTTAGGAAAAACTCAACCAAAATTAGGTTAATTTTCTTGAGGGTAGCAGGGAAGAGGGACGAAGCCACTCTCTCTGCAAGGAGCGCAGCCCCTCCTCCTGCCTACGCGCTTACACAAACATAAAAAACAACATTATATAAAATTGTTTTTTTATTAAACTTAATAAATGAATAAATAATTAGTCTTAAAGAGCCGTTCGCAGTATGTTGTGCGGAAAATATGTCTTACATGTGTGTACACATACATAAGTAAATATATTATGTTTTTTATGTTTGTGTTGTAAGCGTGTAGCAGGGGGGCTGCACCCCTCCGCAGAGGGAAACTTCGTCCCTCCCCTGCACTCCCCAAAATGTACCTGAACTCAATTTCTAGAGGGCCTTCTATAATAAGATATTAGTAATAAATCAGAAGTCAGAAGCAAGAAATTGACCAATCGCAGTCAAATCACAAAAGTATAATCGATTGTGATTAGTCAATTTCTTGCTTCTGACTTCTGATTTCTTACTAATATCTTATTGTAGAAGGCCTTTAATATATTACTGCGATATAGTAATGTACATACATTATATGCATCGTACATTAAGTTAAATTGTTTCGTGAAGGGGAGTGCAGGGAGAGAGGTATAGTGTATGAAAAAGTAAAATATTTACTTCAGAAATCAACACGATGTTGGAAAACAAGGATTCAATTGTGAAACTTCTTTTGTGTGTAACTCGAAAACTAAAGCCGAGCGGCGGTAACATGTATAAAAAAAAGTTGTTCAGAATAACGTCCTTAACAACATATTTCAAACTCATTAAAATCGGTAAGAAAGTTCACTTTGTAAAAAATAATTATCAAAATTTTTTCATATTTTCAACGACTAAAAATACATAAAAATACTAAGTTTCACAAAAATCAAAAAGGAGGAAGCTTTTCTATAAGTTTATCTTTATTTCTTATTGATTTACTTTCAGCGATTTTGTCGAGGAGATCGTTCCGGAACGTATGCGCAGCCACGATTACGTTCGCCGGCTTCTCACCGGTCGCAACAATGCGAAGAAAGAAGTCGATTCATACCTGAGCTGGTATGAAGTACCCGATCGAGCCAATATCGGCACGTTGGCATGCGTCAAATATGTTGCTGGTAAGCCACAGTCTGTCAGGAAGCCATACTTCAAGGTCGCGGATCTTCGACCGGCCGACATCCGCAACGACGTCAACTTTCTCAGTTATTACCTCAAGAATCGTCAGGCGGCCGCAACTGCCTGTGAGTAATTTCTCACGATGACGAAAACGATAACAGCAACAACGACTAATGACAAGACCGATAAAAATGGAAATCATATTGTGATTTTCATTTCAATCTCGAAGAATAATTGCTCTTCAAGAACACGAAATTCTGCTCAAAAATGGAATAATCGAAAATGGTTCCATTTTGATGTTGTAACAGATAATTACTTGTAAGAAAACTATCGAGAATGTGACGTAGTGAAGAATTTCCCAAAAAGAAAAACATTTGATGATAATCTTTTTTTTGTGATAATTCTTATTTTTATTTTTAAATTAGAAAAAAAGAAAAAAAAAGAAAGATTCAGTTTAGTATGCATATTTTTTTAATTTTTAGCAGAAAAGGTAAAAAACCCTCGAAGTTAATTAAATTCATTAAAACTGCTAAAAAAACTAGTTTAAAAATTTCACAAATAGAAAATAAGGGATTGAGCTACGCTACGTTCTCGCAAACCATAACGTTTTTAATAGATTTGAAAAAATAAAAACGGCCTCACGACGCCGTTGTGTGTATCTTTCTTTTTGTCTATTTTTTCCGTTCTACGCGTCCTCTTGTTTCTCTACATTTATTTTTCATTTTTCCTTTTTTGGATTGGCTGACAACCTCTGGTTTATACTGTCTGAGAACTTTTGTTTGTGCTGACAAGTACGTGTGTTTCTTTGATATTTTTGCTCCTTTCTTTGTTGATCACACACAGTTATAGTTGATCTTTTTTTATTAAAATTTTTGTTTGTACAACTTTTTTGTATCGTGGCTGCATCATTGTTCGATAGTATTGTGTCTAATCGTACAACAGCAACACGTACAACACTTATTCGTCCTTCATGTAGGTCTGTAGATAATTCATTTTTTATAACCATCTGTTAAGCGCAGAACATTAATTGCTCGTGTTTATTATTATTTTTTTTACAAAAAACATTGAAACAATACAATTGAAACTCCTTGGAAACAAGACATGTGATTACAATTTTAGCACACGTAATTTTGTTCTACGACTTATATACTTACTTTTTTAATTATTTATCTACAAAATCATAACATTATGATTTTTTCGGAATATACATATGCTGATCGATTCAATCATCGGCCGCATGATTTAATTAAAAACAATTTATAATTTTTTGCGATTTGATCGCTATTTTTTGCTATATTAGAAAGAATAGCGTAAACAACACAGTAGCAAAAAATCGAGAGCCAAATCAAAAGAAACAAGAGAAGGGACAAGAGAGAACAGGACATTTACAAGAACAGGACATTTAAAGAGAATCTTCGAATGGCAGAACATCAAGCTGACTAGGATCAAACTCGCGCACCGAAAGCAAACTTTTGCGGTGGCACAATGTGAATAAGAGCAAATTTTGGCAAAGAGAGGAAGTAGTCCGGCTTTTTTGAACGTTTCAGGCAAGGGCTGGAGAGAGAAGGTGCCGGAGCTGTATCAAAAGCTGAACAAGAAGAGCGAAGGCAACGAGGCGGAAGAGAGCGAAGCCGCCGAAGAGTGACGACCGTGACTTCTGTTTCTTATCATCGTCCAAACTGTGGCCGATATTGTTTAATTTTACGTTCTGAAAGTAGCGCGTTTTTGCGCAGAAAGATTTATGCAATATAATCATTATACAATCGTGATAGTCAAGACTGCAAACCAAGAGAAAGTGTAAAACTTCTTTTATGAAATCTCATTTTTTAACATTAGAGGAGAATTTTCCCTTTGCAAGTAATTTTGAAGAGATTTATTAAGATATAAACAAAACAAGAGTTTTTTTTATAGAAAAAGTGTAGATTAAAATATTTTAGATAAAACAGCGGAATAAATTATTTGATGCAAAAGTGCAAATAAAATCCTATTTTTGACTCTATGTATCTATACAGAATTGTAGAAATAATAAACATACATTGTAGGAATAATATAAACACGTTAAATTGTCAATCAATCCGAATATTTTTATTTAGATTTGATACACACAAGTTTTCGTCATCAATTTATATATAATTTTATATTCGGTTTGCAAGAATTTTTCAGCCAGAACTTTGTTTGCGCACGACTGTCAAGGTAAAAAAATCTAATATGCCTTACTTCTTTTTATTTTTACTTTCTTCTATTCTGGTTGTGTGCTTGTCGACTTCATTAAAATCCAATGTGCGAACGTTCGTGCAGTAATCATAGAACGTGATGCACTTTTCGGTAATTCATTACTGACCAATTTTTCGCAGACTGTAGTATTGGCCTAGTTTACATCGTACATCTTTTTAGTATGCAAATCAAATAAAATGCATTTTCCAAACATTTCACCGTTCGATTTTATCTCAATGGACTTGAATGAAATTGAGACGAATTAACCAAAATCAATCGTGACTACAAAAACTGATTAATACAAAGAGAAATTTGATGAAATAAACACAAGAAAGAGAAAGAACATGAAAATACGAGAAGAAACTAGAGAAAAAAATCGAGAATAAGTTGACAAAAGACAGGCAAATAAAAAAATATACGAGTTTATTGTATGAAAAGCAAGACCAATTTTGTAGACACTAACTTGATGCACGTATTGCATCGTGATGTTCGTTACTGAAATTTAGTAAATCTTTTGTTGTTTTCGCGTGCTCGAGAGGTAAAAAAAGAAAACAAAATCTCCGATGAAAGTGAGAGCCAATTTACCTTGCATAAAAGAGTAATGAAAATGTATAGTAAAAACGATTTGCGTAGCAAGTAAATACATTGTTTTTCTGAGGTAAGCTTCTTCGTGTGTTTTATAGTTTAACCAACGACATTATTTTGCCTCTGAAATACGTAAAACTTGGAATAAAATTTAAAACAAACACTACTGTTACAAAAAAGATAATACTATCAAGAAAAAATATAGAAAAGATTTACTCGACTTTATTAATTTGATAAAAATACTTTGAATTTTTAAAGAAAATATTCAAGATTTAGATTCAGAGACAAAAACCTGGCAAGTTTACGGCTAGATAAGTTAACTCCGGTATTTGCGCAGACCAGAGTTATTGAGTGTGATTTCTAGTTAAACGTCATGCAAATGTGATAATCAGTAAATCATCTTCATTAGAAAAAATGAGAACTTTAATTGTCGTTAATCGCCGATCTTTTTCAATAAAATATTGAGTATGTGACACTTCTATATCATCGAAAAAAAACGTTCAATAATTTATTTTTCATTCTTAAAACATTTACATTGTTAACGCTAATTATATTTTATAACAATCGTTATATTTAATAACAAATAGCATATGTGTTATAATTTATTCACGATACATGTAAACTGCATCTTGTCTTTGTGTAACTAATAAGCATAAGTCTCATCACTTCATGTTTACATAGAACGTTCACATTGTGTGCAATTGCAGTAAAAATAACTTGCTAAGAACGTCAGACACTTGTATAATATAGAAGATTTTACTGCCTTTGCCGCTTTCTTTTCTTATAACTCTGATGGGAGTTTTGATCATTAATTAGTCCTTTATGTTTCATGTTCCTCACAGCTCCCAACCAACCAACAGTAACAGAACGAGAGATGCGAAAGGGTCAGTAGGCACGAAGTAATCCTTTTTGCAATAAAACTTCCTCTTGAAAACAATGTACAGTAGAACCTTGACGATTACGAACGTTTGCAATTATAGGGACGTTTTAATAACAAAACTTCTTTCTTTGTAATTTATTTACAGTGTTTAAACGTGAATTATTATCTTTATATTTATCGCTATAATCTAATATTTTGCTATACTCCCTGTTTTGTATTCTCTACGTTTTACATGTTTTTCTTGTAGCGCGCGCGCTAGCCATCGAACCGACTACTCAAGCACAAAATCCAAGTAAGCTTCCATAAAATGGCACAATTCTAATCATTTTTTGTGTAATTCTTCGTTCATGTTTATTCGTTTATTCTATATATGTAGCATTTGCTTCGGAACCAGAGATAAAACTAGAGAAGAAAGAGAAAAAAAAACCAGAATCGACGAAGGAATCAAAACCAGAATCAAAACTAGCATCCAAATCCGTAAAAGAACTAGAGTCGGAATCGATTGCGCAACCGATTGCAGAACCAGCGTCTGTCAAGCTGTCAAAATCGACAAAGAGCTCGAAAGCCATGAAAGCGATGTCTGTCGCGAAACCGGCCGAACTAGCAAAAGAGTCAGAACCTGAACAAGTAAAAGAATTAGAGCTAGTAAAAGAGCTAGAACCAATAAAAGAGCTAGAAGCAGTAAAAGAACTAGAACCAGAATCCATAAAAGAATCTGAACCAGAACTAGAAGTAGTGAAAGAGCCAGAACTGGCAAAAAAACTAGAACCAGAATCCGTAAAAGAGTCTGAACCAGAACTAAAAGTAATGAAAGAGCCAGAACTGACAAAAGAACACGAAGCATCGACGGAACCAGCGCCGGCGGATAATGCGGAGGCAGTAAGTGACAATACAAAGGAAAATCAAAAGGGTACGTTGATATCTCGATATTATGAACCGGACATATTCTATTTCGGCAGCCGGAAATAAGCTTGTCACGCAAAATTCGAATATCTCTTAGGGTATAGACAAAAGTCAACCATTAGCTTGTCTTGTTGCTAACAGCATCTCCCACATATCAGTATGCACGGAAATGAATGTGTCTGATTTAAAATAATGTCCGGAGTTCCTTGCTCAGTCTCGTAAACTAAATGTGTTTCTCTTGTAAAGACATCGAAAATCGTCTCTGTGAAGTATCTCATGTTTTTAACAGTCTTTTTAAATTGTTCCTTACAATATAACGTCGACACATGAGTTTTGATGTCTACATTTTCTTATGTTGTAGTGAAAAAGGAGAGAGAGGACGCAATAAAAAGGGCCGAAGAATATCTTGCGAAAGTAGTCCGGGAAGCGCAGTAAGTAACTATTTGTTCAATGTACAATACACACAAACAGATCATAAAGCCAAATTGCACACAAATAATCACCTACTGTATAGATAGGGAAAAGTGGGGCAATAAATAAAACACAAATTTTTATAATCAACATTGGTAATCAGTCTTTCGACTAACATATAAATAAACTAACTTTTTAAAATAAAAAATATTAAAACGCTCGTGATGTAAGAACAAATTAGTATATCAATTAATAAGGTCAATATCGAGCAAAAAACGTGATGACAGTATGAAATTATATTTAAACGTAATACATTAAATAATAAAAATATGCAAGTGCGAAACGTTTCGACATTCACTGATGTCCTCCTCAGTCGCAGTGTACAAAAAGTTAAAGTAAAGATGTCATGGTGTGTTTTATGTAAGGTAGATGGTCGTACCTCGTGTAATGTTCCTGTCGTTACAATGTAAAATCAAAAGATAAGTCAAAATACACAATCATCACAGAACACAAAATATAGAAGTCAAAANGAGCTTACACTTGAACGGTAAAGAGTCAAATGATAGTCAAAGGCAAGAGACAAACATATTTATAATCTTACTAAAGGGGATAGACGAATCCGTTGAATTTAAGTCTTAGACAGAGTCATCTTGTATAAAAGATCAAAGTAAGCGTTATTCAATGATTCGGTGTCTGTTATTAAATTGAGACTCTGATGTTGTCGCTTAATGTGGATAGTCTCGGAAATTATTCTTTTATAACTTTTTAAAGTTTTTTAAACTAAAAAATTATTAATTCAAAAAAGTTTCTTTCTTCACGGACGGAGTAAAATGGAGTATTTTTGTGGCCAAGATAGAGTACCTATTAAGAAATAATATAAACAAATTAACGAAGAATTAAGGCTTATACACAGAGAGAAAGAACGGTTTCTTTAAATTTAATAATCCGATTTGTTTGACCCATATTTGTTGCATTTAAACAACATAATTTTCTACCAAACAACAATTTTGTTAAATGAAAATTATATTGTTCCGTTAAAATACATAAAATTTTTTGACGGAAACAATACAAATGTTTGAAATAATTTATTCCAACAAAATAATATTTTATTTGGTTTTAATACGTATTATTTAATGAAAAAATCATTTTGTAACATAAATATAACATAAAATATATTTAAATATAGCATTGTTTGAGATAAAAAATTTCGTGTTGTAAAAATGTACTTTAAATTATAAGAATAATAAATAATTAATAATAATAAGAAAAATATTTTTATCCATTGTTGCAGATACATTGCACTGCAATTTTTTTAACAAAATACTAATTCAAAAAAATATTAAATGAAATGCGTATAGGATAGCTTGAGAATAAGTAGATAAAAATAATCACATTTTAAAGGAACAAAAATAAAAAAATAAAAAAATCACATTTGTAAGGAACAAGTAGTCTTGCGGACTGAATGTAGGGGCTGCGAATACGAGACGGAGGCGTCTCGAGTTCGAATTCCGCTATCATCTTAGGATTTTTTCAGGTCCAGTCTCTTTCAATGGAGTTCATCGGTTGATTGGCAAGCTGGAATCGGGCCTCTAAAGATTACTTTGAGTAAAATCTCGAAGTTGTGTGATGGCGCAAGCCGCGAAAAAGTTTTTTTATTGAAGTTTTAGATTTATTTAACTTAACAAAATACGTAAAAATGTGTGTAAACAGTTTCAAGATTTTTTAAAAAATATAAAGACGTTAATAATGGCTGTGTGAAGTAAACACGGATGCTGATTTGTAAGTTTCTTAATCAACATTATATATAATCACTGCAAATTTCTATATTAAACTATTTTTTTGTAGAATACATTAATTTATTGTTTCGTAGAATTATATTGAAAAAGACCTAATCCAGAGGTCGAAAACGTTTTATACATTGTTTTCAATAAATTAATTCAACCAATATACACATCAGCATCCGTGTTTACTTCAAACAACCATTATCAACGTCTTTATATTTTTTTAACAAAATATTTTGTTTGAAGTTTAAACAATCGGATCGTTTAGTTCAAAATCAAGATTGTTTGGACTATTCCAATGAAATAATTTGTTTGGCTTTAACATAAATTGTTAAATCTAAAGAAATCGTTCTCTCTGTGTATAGTTTAAAACTAACCACGAAATTCCAATCGGTAATAAGAGCCGATGCGCTAATTGTTTTGCTGAATAAATATATATGAATACTACCATGATAAAAAAATAACCGGAATTTATTCATAAAAAGAAAAGTACATGTTTATTCTTCAAAATTCAAGTTGTCCCCTTCAAAGTAGTCCCCGTCGGCTGCGATGCACTTGTGCCAGCGTTTGATCCACCCCTCGAAGCTTTT